CCCAACTGGGTTCAGCATCTTTTAACCATCCCTACTATTTTGAGCACTTTTATTTCATTGTATTGATAATTATTTGGCATCTTCAGAAGTATATAGCATAATTAATGGAAAGGAGCAAAAGAAAATTAATTAGCATAATTAAAGTTTAGAAGAAATGTGACTTAGCTGTCTAAGTTAGACATTAAATGTAGGTTATTAGAACTGGCTGCTGGCCTTTTGTCTGGGGAATTTGCTGAGTACTTTTGCTTTCATTCCGATGAATGTTGCTGTTGCTTTTATTTTCCTAATACAGGAAGTAGTAACTCCCATTATTGTATTAAGCTGTTTCCTTTCTGAGACACTTTTGCAAGCTAGGTCTGCACGTTTCCTCTGTCTCACTGATCTTATATGTTATGTGTGTGCTTCCTGAAACTAAGCATTGATGGAAACTGTTAGCATGTTGGTGCACCTTTAACCGAGGAAGGTTACTTAGTCTGAAAACATTCTTCCCTCTACAGAGAAGCTTTTCAGCATTGTGTGCTGCTTTATGCTGCTAATACTCAGTGCTTTTCACAAGCAACTTTAATGAAGAACTAGCAGGTTTGGGATTTAGAAATAAAAATGACTAGTTCTCATTTCCGGACATGGATTTAAGTGTGGCTTCCATTGGCCAAGGTTTGGAAACACTTCCGTCTGACGGCTGCCTCATCTGTACCCAGCCAGCTGGACCTCTTCTGTTCTTTCACCTGAGCAGTTGTTCCTGTCCCATAGAAAATACTGGCATCCCTGACCTGTAATGATGTTGGAGGGTTAAGTGGTGGACTTCACCACTTAAAGACCTAAAGAATTAATTTCCACCTCCCTCCCCTAGGTTGAAGCTTTGTCATCCAATTTGGGGAGAGTACTCTCCATCCTACAGAATGTCCTGTATCTGACAGTCACACGCAGGAACAGATTTTTGGGAAGCAAGGGGATAGGATTTGTTCATGATCTTTCAGAGTTCCTTTTATGTCTTCAGTGTACACCAGTTTTTGTAAGAAACAAGTTCCATATGTGGTTTTGCTTTTTTCCTTGCTATATAGAAAGAGTATTTAGCTTAATTTAATCTTAAAAACTCTTTCTTGCTTCAAGAGATACCTCATGAAAATGTTCTAAAATTGATTATGATGATGGTTGTACAACTTTGTGAGTATAAGTCAAAGTATACTTTTAAAATGTTCATATTCTATGATATATGAATTACATCTCAGTTAAACTAGTGTGTGGATGTACACGTGTTTATGTGTATGTTTATGTACATGAGGTGCATGTGCGTGTGTGTGTGTACATGAGATTGCCCTTGGGTCCCAGTTCCAATATTTAATAAAGAAGCCCATTTGATCATATTAATTTTGCTTGTGGTTTTATAAGTCTTTTCATATTATTCCCCTGAGCCTTTCAGTCTCCTAGCTAAGGAGATCTAATTCTTATCAGTTTAACCTTACATGCTTTCATTTATCAACCAACAAGCACATATTTAGCACCTTTCTCCAGCTGCAGAAACCAAATTGTTATAGAGACAGTGGTGATGTGGGGAGAGAGGCAGAATTGTCACAGGAATTATTAATAATAAATTAAAGTAGCAACTGGAACTGCAGCCATTCTGTGTGGGAAGCACAATAGTGTCTTAACTATGATTGTGGTGACAGGAGCCAACAATTGAGTCCCTGCTAATGGCCCAACAGGGGAAGGGGTTGAAAAGAAGGAATGAGTGGTTTACATTACAAAGAGATTGTCTGAGAGCTGCTCAAGTGTGGTCAGGAGGGGAGGTCAGGCTGGAGACAGAAGGGATGATAACCGTGGAGCTGTCAAGGGCATCTCAGGGATTTAGGCAAGGGCTGTGGCAGTGCTGCACTGCCACTGAAGCAGATGTGGCCTGGCCTTGCATATCACTGATTGATAAAAAGGAAACACAATGAGAAGATAATTGAGTGAACCAGGGGCTTGGGCAGGAGTCACAGAATCTAAAAAGTGAGTCCTGGGAGCCATCAGAACTTCGGCTGAAAGTACTCCAGGCTTCACTGTGACTAGAGTTGACTATTCCTGTGGGGGAATAAATCTACCATGAGGGAGGGGTGTGTGTGTGTGTGTGTGTGTGTGTGTGTGTGTGTGTGTAATGCTGTGATTGGCAGATCTATTGAAAAGAATATGCCCTTGACATCTGATAAACTTCTGATCATGGCAACTCATTTCCAGAACATACAGACACACATACACACACACACACACACACTCACACTCATACATTGCTTTTACTGGATGCTTTGGTATATATTTAAAAAATCATGACCATTAGACTACAACCCATATCCATTGTCCATTTGTTCTGACTCTGTTCACATTAGCATTTTTCCCTCCAGTCCAGGCTGTAGCTGAGGATCATATATTGCATTGAGTTGTCATGCATTGGAGAGACTAAATGAGCAAACAGATGGGGCCAAATGTTAACAATTGATGAATCTGAGTACAGGAATATTCTCCTTGTGTGACTCTGCTGGCCTCTTTATCCTGGTCTCATAATGCTTGTAGTCTTGCCAACCACACTGCAGCCCCAGAGGCAACCTTTTTGTTCCTTAAAGGAGCCAAGCTATTCCCACCTTCGGGCCTTTGGGCCCCTTCTCCCTGAGCTGCACAGGGCTGGCTCCTTCTTGTCATTTAGCTCTCAGTTGAAATGTCACTTCTAAGAGAGCAGATCCTACTCACTGAAGTAATGACCTAATCACTTTCTATCCCTCTATTTTAATTGTCTGCCTTGCCCTATCACTAGCTGATAATTCTATCTTATTCTGTAGTGAATCCAAAACACCAAAACCACTTAGTAGGTGCTCAAAAACTATTTCTTGAATGAATGTATTCATTTAAGTGTTCAGAAGTTGGAGTTACTAAAACTTATGGCAGTGCCTTACAGGTGTGCTTTATGAAAGAAGATATAGTTCTTCAGAGCTCCACTCAGGGACATATACTCCAAGAGAAGACCTTGACTCTATATTTGAATATTGGTGAATGGATGCACTTTTATATTTTTTAATTTAACTATTTAAGACACTCCACTGTAATAAACGTTTTTGAGTATGAATATCTGCAAAATTATATCAGTAAGAGGACATCTGGTCTATATAGAAACCAGTGGTTCCAGTTATAGAAGTAGTATGTAAATTCTACTATATAGTAGTATATAAATTCAAAGAAAATAATAACTCATCATTTTAGAGGAATGGAATTATGAATAAGTTTTCCAAACCTTATATAAATGGTACTATTATTTTTCTGATTTAAAAAATATTTTAAGAGACAAAAAATACAATATAGATATGATTAAATATTAATAAGATTATAAATGCATTTTGGAATCAGAAGGACTTTCTTGATTTTAGCATACTTAGTAAAGCTTTACAGAAAATAGTGGTTATTGATCTGGGCTTTCAAAAATTCTTAGGACTCGAGGGTGGACAAATATAGTGAACAAAGAGAGGAAGAAAGCAAGAATCAAACCAGAGACTGTGAGGAGACAGGTGTAATGGAATGGAAAGCTCATATGTAAGGAATGGTGAGAAGACATTTTGGAGAGTTAAGGCAGGCTTACATTTTAGAAGATCTTTAAAATCAGGCAGAGAGGTTTTTAGGCTAGAAATGGAAAGAAATAAGGAACTACTGTAAGTTCTCCTTTTAATTTATATTTTTATTACACATTTGCAGTAAATGATTACTTCATTGAGTGGAGTCGGTACATGTACATAACACATCTTAATTCTTTTTTCATCCCCTTTTCCTGCCCTCTGTCCCATTATTACAAGTTCTTGAGGAGAAACATAACATGATGGTATGGATGTTCTGGGAGAATTATTCTGTGCAAAGAGTAAAACGAGCTTGCAGTTAGGGATGTAATACCAGGATCCATCTGGTGTCCATGGCAGATTCCAAAATCAGTCACAGGGCTGCTCCACATGGACACAGCCTGAATGCTTTCTTCCGCCATTACTAATCAATCTCGGTTGGCCATGACACCCACCTGCCTCCTCTGCACATGTCACACTGGAGGAGGGAACTGCGAAGGAGGAAGACAGAAGAGACACGAAGGCCCAAAGGATGAGAACCTGGATTTTAGTAGTTGCAAGAAAATAAGAAGAATTAGTATTTTGAGATCTTTATTTTGTATTCATAGTTTTATATTTTAATTAGGACCAGAAGTACTTTTGTATGATTCTTATGCAGTTGTTAAAGAAGTGTTGCTTTTCCTTTTGGGATCTTTGGCACTACTGTAGTTTGTAGGCACTTGGGCTTTTAAAAAATATCTTTCCTTAAATATTTAATAAACCTTGAAAAGAGTAACTCCAACAAACGATGTGCAAAAAAAATTCAACTCATGCTCACTTTTAATCTATAAAGATTTGGACACATCTGCTCTGTCCATTCCTGGGAATTAAGTTGTCAGAATATGTTAAGACACTATTTTAGGGTTTTTTAAAAAAGATTGTTTTCTGTTATTTTTAAAGCAATCTTTAGATTGCAAAATAGCAAACAAGATTAAAAATAAAATGAAATTGTCTCATCTTTGGTGGTGACAGCGGGGGAAGCTTCCACTCCATCAGTGTGTGGGCTGCAAGCAGAACAGAATGTTTATCTTAGCTGCATGTTGAAGTTGGAAAATAAAGTTAGTGATAGCTAAAAGGCCTTCTTTTGAATAACTTGTCACAAAGGCAAAACAAATCTACTGGCAAATCAAGTCTCCTTTATAAGCTAGGATTGCATTTCTTAATGGAGCTGAAGATGCCATTGCTTTGCCATTTCAGCTTTCACTTCTGTCTACTGCATTGGTTCAGGTTAACATCCAAGTACCTCTGATTCAAGGTTTAGTTGTTGAGACCAGTGGCACTTACATTTTTTTATTGATGACATTTCTTTTTTCTTTGTTTCTTCTGTTCTTTCATTTTCGTTTTCTTTCTTTCTTTCTTTTTTTTCATTGTCTACGGCACATGATCAAGAGCTTACAAGACCCTATGAAAAAGCTAGTTGAGAAAGAAGAAAAGAGGAGGATTGCCCAGCAGGATACCACGGAGGCAGCAGGCCAGGAGCCAAGTCAGTAAGTCCCAGCCCCTTCTCTGACACTGTCTCCCTGCCAACAGGTGAGGGCGCCACGGTCCCCATCGACCCAGTCCAGAGTGGTCATCTCACTCCTCACACCTCGGAGTAGATGCATTAACATGGAGGCCAAGCTCTTTGGCACATCTTCCTGCTAGCACCCTCCTCTCACCCAGTAGAAGACCCACTTCAAGAGTCCACAGAAGAAGCACCCTTTTGAGGAGCTGGCTGGGATAGGAAGGGGCTGCCTGGATCTCCGTCCTTCAGTCTTTGCCCTAGCTGTGTGTTCTTTCCGGTTTCTGTCCCTACCTGGCCCTGTTTTCACCAGTACTAACCAGATGCTGTGCTAGACAGGAAGTACCCTGGGCTTTTGTCTCATAGAGGCTGATGATTTCTGAAATGGCCTCAGGACTGCACACCTATCACTGAGGTATTGTCCTGCAAAGGTACTGGGTTGTGAATTTCCCTTTTCACTGATCTGACTTTGGATTTTTTCCTCTGTGAAGCAGAGCATAGCCTCCAGTGCAAGGGGTGACTGCTAGTCTCGATTTCTTCCCTCCATACATGGTGCCTCCATTATTATAGATACTGCTGGATTTATCAGTGTATGAGGCACGTGGTTCGTAATCCCAAAGAATGAAAAAGAGGTTTAAATGGGAGTCAGAGTCATGTGCTATGGAGATGGACTAGCTCGGGGGAACGCAGTTAGTCTGAACTGGCTGGCCCAGGAGAAGCAAAGGAGATGACCTTATTTCGGTTCACTATTCCTTATCCACACACGCAAAACCTTTAGATGACAATTTTAGGGTAAGACAGGCTTATATTTTTTGCTTATATTTGTAAATAAAATTTCAGATTTTTTTCTCATAGGAATATCCGGCTGCTGCTATTATTCCTTTTTACTTTTAAACTAAGCGCTCAAAAATTTTGCTGGTACAGAACGAAAAACAACTTTTCACTGTAGAACAGAGTACAGTCCCATTGGTTTTGTAGGGGAAACTTCTGAGACCTGTTTCTAATAAGGGCGATAATGCTGCTGTCATTTCCTGAGCACCTACTATGTGCTGTACATGATGGCAGGTGCCACTTAGGTGACTCATCTTCACGTGTGCCCTCTGCATATTCAGTGGGCATTGCCCCATCGTAAAGAGGATGGAAGGCTCTGAGAGGCTGGGGGAGACCAAACTAACGCCGTTAAAGCACTAGGAAATCACCTAGGACTTTCTTGATTTGTTTTCATTGATTTCAGATTTCTTAACTATTCCACTACTTCAGTTTTTAAAAGCTCAAAATTTATAATCCAGTCACTACTGAAATGACAATGCAAATCTGACAAGAACTGTGGTCAGAAATAGCGGCTGTAAGTGAATCACGGGGCTCGGAGGAACGCTCAGACAATGGATGAGACTCACGGCAGTGACGTGTCTATTTTTAAAGACACAGGAAGAGTGTGTTAGGTGACTACCCACCTGGATTTGACAGTAATCCTGCTTTCAGCTTTCTGTAGGTTGGCTGATCTCTTCAGTAACACCAGGAATCAGAATAAACCACGGTTCAGCCATCAGTTTTTTATTGTTACTGTGTTTCCCCGAAAATAAAATCAAACAGCCTTGGAAACTAGAGATCAAAAATGCCAACCCCAATCAGCCTGTCCTTGTCCTGTCTGCTATTACAGAGTAGCCACTGAGCAAGAGAAGGGGGAAGTATAATCTTGTGCATGACACTGGCCATCACTGTGATAACAACCAGCTAGGGCTTATCTTCCAGTTAGATCTTATTTTGAGGGAAAATAGTATAACTGTACATATCTAGCCCAGCTATCCCTCACTGTCCATCTAGATATTTACAGAACATGTGCCTTCTGATGAAACTAAACTCAGTTATAAAGATGAGGCAGAATGGGAGAGAAAGCCAGCAATTTTATTTCTCCTTCAGAGAATATATAGCATGTAAATGACCTTTCATTCTGTTTGTGATATGAGTGTGTGTATTAATAATTGAAGTAATATATACTGTACTGAAAATCTGTATCATAAATATAACATTTGCAGAATTTAATGACTATTTTTTTTAATTTAAGATTAATTTCATTAGAAGATGAAAACCAGTACAAGGAATCCTCCAGTTTTAATAGTAAGTTTTGATTTTCATTTAGAATTGCTTCTGAAACACTACTAAGCACTCAAGATCCAACTCGTTTTCATTTTTTATAAACTCCCTCTAGACCTTTCTTCTTTGCCAGTCAAGAAAAGAATATGTTAATTTGCTTTCTGTTTTGATTCTAAATGTCAAATATTAACAATGCCAATCCTGTTTACTGATTGGTGGGATTGCAGTATATTTTGAACCAGAAAATGAAATGCTTGAAAGGCAGCCCTTCCAAGGAGCAGCCACAAATGAGACCTAGCAGAAAGCAAGTTCTTTCTACAAAAGATAAAACGATTTCTGCTGTTGCCTTTTCTAGTTCTAACTGCCATGTGGTCTCTGAAAATAATCTCTGTAAGGTCACATTATTGCATCTGGAGAGACTGGTGTTTGGTGATTTGTGGGTATGTGTTGGTCATTGTTAGGGACTGATGAGAAGAGCTCAGACCCTGCTCTGCTAGGCTGCCTATAATGAGTGGTACCATGTCCCTCAGGTGACCCGAATCTGACGTCTTAGGAAAAAGAGGCCACTGGGAGATGACACAGTGTGTAGTGAAGGGCTCTCAGCTATTTCTGCCTCCTGCATCACTGCTAGTTTTGTTTTTTTAATTGGCTCTTCACCTCATGTGGGGTAGAGTGTATGGAAAATAATGGTAGAAGTGATGTTTTATAATACTGAGCCTTTCTCTCACTGACACTCAAAATCCTTGGAGATGTAGAGGAATAATTTATAGGTGTTATGAAGAGAACTAGAATCACCAGCCCTCTGTTCGGCAGGCCTTCTTGGGGATGTGCTCTCCTCTCACCTGTCTTGCCCTCCACTAGGGCAGCCTTTATAAAAATTAGCAGGGGTCAAAGCAGATCCTAGAATTTTCCTGTGCTCAATTCTGCTCTTCACCCTTTCTCTTGCTTCTGACTTCCTACGTTTTGGAACACTTGCCTCATCTACTTTTTCTTTCCCCACTTCCCTCCTGTACATTTCCTTGTCTCTTATCTGCCTTTCAGAAAAAGCAAAACTGCTTACTCTCTCACCTCCACAGCTTGGCTTCCTGACATCCCCTCGTGCATGTCTGCTCTCACGTATTCATGCACTTGTGCATTTGTTCAGCACATGTTTACCAAGAGCTGCCTCTGTACATAGTTGGACATATCCAGACCCTCTTGGGCTGGGGCTTACAGGGTAATCAGATGGTGGCCTAATAGTCACACACTGGGGCAACTGCAACTCTGTTGACAGCCATAAAGGAGAAGTGCAAGGCTCTGGGCATGTGTGACAGAGAGGCCTTATCTGTCTCAGGAGATCAGGGAGCCAGCTCAAGCTAAGTGTTATTGCAAGACATGTCAAAACAAGAGGCACAGCCTGGACAAAGGCTGTGAGGTAGGCAGGACCAGGAAAACGTCAGAAGAAATATTCCAAAGCATCAGGTGGGGGAGCAGGTGGTGGAGGCTGAGCCTGATCCCACTGGCCATGGAAGAGCTCACTGCATCTATCCCAACTCTTCAGCCTCAGTGGCCTTCAGTGGGCCTGCAGCATGAATCATTAATATTGTGGGAATCAAGGTCATCCAATAAATTTAGTTCTGTAGAAAAATGTAAAGTCCAGTTTATTGTATCTGTATGCAAGTTACAAATCTATATAAATTATATCTTCATACAATATATGACTATGCAGGATAAAATGCAAGTTTTTCTCTTGCATTGTACAATAGAGTTATGTGTGGCATTTGCATAATATTTTGAGATTGTAAATGTCTGACATCTTGATTTATATATATGCAGAATGGAATTCATTATAATGAAGTGATATCTGCCTTTTATTCTGTGATCTGTAGAAAATCTAATGAACACTTGAGCAAACTAACTTTTAAAACTGTTCTCTTACACACATACAGACATACAAAATGTATTGTTCAGTTCTTGGTTCATGGTATAAACACAAAGTACAGATTTCCAGTATGGCCCCTGCCCCCACATATACATAGCCTCTCCTGCTATCAGCAGACACTACCAAAGTGGTACATCTGTTGAATCAGTGCACCTACATTGACACATCATTACCTCCTAAAGTCCATGGTTTACATAGACTTCACTCTTCATGTTAGATGTTTTGTGGATATTAAAAATATAAAATGGCATGTATCTACCATTAAAATATCATACAAAATATTTTCACTGCCTTAAATATTCTCTCCTCTACCTACTCATCCCACTCTCCCCCTAAGCCCTTGGCAACTACTGATGTTTTACTGTCTCCATAGTTTTGCCCTTTCCAAAATGTCATATTGTGGGAATAATACAGTATGCAGCATTTTCAAATTGGCTTCTTTTAGTTAGTAATCTGGCTTTTTATTTCAGCCAGGCCCATATGGCTGAAGTTCATTAGCAACATCAAGTAATAGTCAATTACTTAACTCACACACTCATTTGTCCACGGATAGAGAATTGTTAGGCCCATGTCATATAATTTTCTGGGTTACTACCAAACAAAGCAGAGATGCAGGGCTAGTTCTGCATTCATGAGAGCCAACAACTAGAGTAAGATGTGATCTGAGGGCTCCTCCTTCTGCATGAGTGAGTTTGTGGATGCTATTTCTTCCTAAAGCTCTGCATTTCCATTACACTGCAATCGAATGTGAACATGTAAACACTCTGAGTTGGTGATAACCAATTGCCCATGTTGTATTACAGCTGAAGATGGAAAAAGTATTTTATCTGCTTTAGACAAAAGCTCTGCCCAGGATGTATATTCAGGTAATCTAGATTAAGGAAAGCTACTCAATTTAAATAATTTGACTTAGACTTACAAAATAAAACTAACGCACAGTTTTTCTTTCCCCTCCTCTTGAAGGACCTATGGATGAACTGTTGGACATGAAACCTCAGGAAGGTGGTAAGATTTATGTATTTCTTTAAGGTTATATTTTAGTTTTACTTCCTTTTTAAACAAAAGAAAATGTAATATTTATCTTTTTAATAGCTTTGCAGTACTGTACTAAGTAAATTTGGGGAGCGGGTTGACAGTCTTTATAAACTACCTTGCCTAGGCCTAATTGTGGATCTGACTTTGTTACTATAGTTAATTTCATAATTCCAACTACTAAACTGAAAGTTAATCAGAAGTCACATGCTGTAGTAGAAAAATGCCTTTCAGAATGAGACAAGTGTAGATTTGAATATTGGTTCCACCATAAACGAGCTATACAGCCTTCACTAGTTTGCTTGACATTTGAACTCCCTAAGCTTCAGGTGTTCTCATTTGTAAAATGGAACCAATGGCAGCAGCCTCCCTGGGTTATTTTCAGGATTGGAGATTGGCTGTGTGAAGGATACTATGTGGTCTCTCACACAGGGCACTCTTGAAATGCTAATCAGTTGAGAGCATGACTAGAATATTGTCTAGATGGTTTATTATGCTGCACCTCCACTGAACCCTAATCCAGGGGGTGCATTTGCCTGGTGGAGTCCCACAGTCAAGTTTACCAGACCTGAAATCCCATATTGACTCCTGAAAGAGAGTCTAGAAAAGTGGATGTGGATAAGACATGGATAGTGTTAGGGGATGCCAAGAAACTGATCGTCGCTTCTGTTCTTTGTCCTACAAGATTTCCTTTTAATGATTTACCAAAGTCCAAAACCCCCTGACATGTTGAATCGAACATCAGAATATCCCTTGCCCTGGTGACAGACACAGTCTGCTCTGGTTACATAGGGTTCTTACTGGACAGAAAGAGTCAACTCAGGCTAAGCTTGATGGGGATTTGATTCACAGAATATGAAAGGAAGTAAGTCTCTGGAAAACAGAGAGGACATTGATTAAATGTTTATCAGAAGTGGGAAGTCACCACACTCTGGTGTTATTTCTAGGGTTTAGGAATATAAATTTGAGAGCAAAAATCTGCTTTTTATATCAGTGTCTTACTGGAAGTCAAGACTATGAGATGCTTTATGAATGTCTGTGAACTTTCATCAAAATGACTAGTCGTTTGTAAATATTGAAATCATACGAGTAATGAAATTAATGAGTAAGCAGTCAATGCACATCACTGCACGTGGTCTCCATTTTAAAAAAATTCCCCACTGGTTTCAAAATAGATTGTTTTGATGTAATAAAGGTATCTTTTACAGATTCCCTTTTTTAGAGAGGGGAAACATTTTAATCCTACCAGAATGACATAAAGAGAACAATGCAACAAGCCCTAGGTGCCTACCACCCATTTTCAGCGAGTCTTAACATTTAACAAATGTATTTATCATCATTTATGTGATTCAGCTTAATCCCAATTTTTTGTGTGATTTGAATCTAGGCCTTTGAACTGAGCTAAATGCCCAGCTCATTTTTGTTATTAAGATAGGGGATTGCTGAGTTGCCCAGGCTGATTCAAACTTGCTTTCCTCCTGCCTCAGCCTCCTTTAGTGCTGGGATTGCAGGCATGAGCTACCAAGCCCAGCTCCAATGTGTTCTTTTTTGAGGGGGAAGTGAGACACAGTCTTACTGCATATTCTAGGCTGGCCTTAAACTCACTGTGTAGGCCAGGTTGGCCTCAACCTCAGGCGATCCACTTGCCTCATCCTCCCAAGTGCTGGGATTACAGGTACACACCTCCCATGCTCAGCTTCTAATATCTCCTTTATGTGACTTGTCCTGGCTTTTATTATCATCCTATTTGATTTTATTATTTTCATAGATTTAATTTTTGAATAGTATATTCCCATCAGTACCCAAAAAACCCCAAAATACTATAGTAGTAAAAATATTATGAAAAACTCTTACTCCGATCTACCAGTGATCCTTCCAGTATTTCTGTGCTCAGACATAGCAGAGATCTATCTATCTCTCATGTTTTCCTTTCTTACCAAAACAAAAACAAACCAACACACACGTACACACACACACACACACACACACACATGCACACACACGCACAAAGGTTCTTGGCTTTGGCTTTGGATTTTTTTATCTTGTTAATAGTGGTACCACAGGAACCCAGTAGCCAGCATTCTTCACAAAATTAAATCAGAAACTCCTTTGCCTGAGATACATGCTCCATTTCATCAGCTTCTTTACTAATTTAAAACAACTTTCCTGTAGTTGATTTTGTGTATAGTAGTTGATTTTGTTAGTTTTATAGAATAGCAACTTGTATCCCCTTCAGGGCCACTCAGTTTAATTCTAAAGATAAAGAATGTGCTCTTCCCTAACATGTGTCCTTGTTCTCAGGCAGAAAGATTTACAGATTTTCTCAATTAAATGCAATGTCACATAATTTCTGCTTTCCCTTTGTCACTGCCAACCCACAAAGCCCTTCTTGAGGTGCAAGCAATACTTCCCTGCTATCATCTGCCTCTTCTCTGCTGTTCATGGCCACTCCTGCAAACAGATCCTCTCAGTGCACAGAGAACTCATGGTGACTGATAAGAATGCTCATTAATGTGTTGACATCGAAATGTGGCCTTTTGAAAAACTGCTGGAAGGCCCAAATCCTAAATTAAAATGCTGGTTATAATATGGAAAACATTAAGTAGTCAAGAAATACAAAGAACTTAATCCAGGGATGGCTGACTTTATAGGACCAGGGCCCATAAGCTCTCGCACCCTGCTGTTTGGGGGCTCATTCCCTCCCAGTGGTAATTTCGTCAGATGGTACAATGCTATCAAAAGACAGACTGCCTGTGATAGTCCTAATGATTCTCAAAGAGCCACGGCCCCCCGAATCACTCAGATTCAGTGTCGTAATAAAATTTGCTTTCTCGTACTAAATGTAACAGAAGATCAACATTTTGCCACAGTTTATAAAAATGTTCTAAGTGGAAAGAAACTTAAGGACATTATGCGATCTTTGACAGTGGCTCTGAAATTGCCTTTGACCATGTGTGACAATCTAACCTTATTGCACTTTGTTTCTCAAAGTTGGACCAAGAAAAAAACTAGCTTGTGACTGAACAAAAAGTGATGTTATAAAAGCAGATGAGAATTCTGTGAACTTGGTTCACTTAAAATCTTATCCTTTGGCCTCACCCAGAAGATCCTGAGTCAAGATTACCTGAGCCAATTTAAAAACTTGTTTGTCCATATTACGATATTTGTCTTGTCATTTTCTTGGTTATTACTCGTGGTTCTAAATTCTGACCACATATTGGTAGCTCATTCAGTAGCTACCAGAGGCCCGGATGAGAAGCTGTAGGCCTGGCAGTCATACTTGTTTATCCCTTATTGTGTTGCTTCCTCTGAAGCATCCAGAACTGCTTCCTGCAGGCATCATGTATTTGCACTAGGGATCTGATTGCTTCCTGACATGCAGTGTAGCTACCTCATTATCGTTTCTCATAATTCCTTCCCACCTCCCCCAGTATTCTTCGATGTGCTAGTGGCTTTAGTCCTTTCGTAGAATAATGATAGGCTTTTTTTGGCGGTGCTGGGGATTGAACCCATGGCCTTGTGCATGCTAGTCAAGCTCTCTGCCATTAAGCTATAATCCCAGCCCAGTAATCATGTATTTTTACAGTCAAGTACTGTTCTTAATCACCATCTACTCAAAAGTATTCTATGTAGATTTATCCTTGTAAAACCTTTCCTCAGCCCCATGCTTCATGTCTCTCAGTAAGAGTCCTTGGTTGCTAAGATCTAGTACTAAAAATGGAGGAACAGACTTGAGAATCATCAGCAAGTTGTTTGTTTCTTTGCTTGTTTTTAGGGTCCACTCAGGTCTAGCACTATTGGATTGTTGTTAGGGGTGGATCTCCCTGAGCCCTATCTGTTCTTATTATAATCTGTGTCCTGTTGTTGTTGCTGGTGGTGTTTTTGTTTTGTTTTTTTAACCAGAAAGGACTTTTCAGAAGCAAACAGCATTCTTGAATTCCAAACAAGTACAATTTGTTACCAGAGCCTTGTATAATGAAGAATATTTTTCTGGTTAGACACTTTAGGAAGGTGGTTTTCTACCCCTCTTCCCCTTACTCTGTTTTGGGTGATGTGAGGATAGTGTTGGTGTTTGGGGTTTTCGTCTGTACTGCAAATGTGTGGCCTTTAAGATTAGTCATCATGCAGAAGGCAGAGGCCAGGGAGAAACCCAGAGCAGGAGTCTTCCTGTTTCACACACAGATGAGGGTAAATGAAGTGACATTTATCTGTTTTCCTGTGCTCTCGTTTTCGGTCTGTGTAGTTATGTTTCCATCTTCTGTGTCTCTAACTTATGCTGAGGTCATGAAACACAGGATGATTTCAAAAATACTACCTGAACAAGTGTCTTGCGTTTCCCATACTTTGTCTGAACTTGCAAGTTTCCTTTGTATTTGAGTTTTCACAAGCTAGAGATCGTTGATTCAGGATCAGCTCCCCTAGGAATGCATTCCCAAGGGCATGGGATTCTTATTTTTGGAACTCAGGTAGTGTAGGGTAAGCAAGCCCTGTGGATCTGCCATCTGCCCATTCTGCCATGTGCCTGCATGAGGCCTGGCTGGAGGCAGATCCCTCTGACCTTGCAGTTCCTCGACATTTAAGTTTTTATTTGAAATCCTAACTATGTTCTATGTAAAAGCAGGGTGCTGCACTGAGACAGCACCTTGGCCTGTGAGTCAGGGGTCCCCAGCCAGTATCTGTAATAAATAACTTATATGTCCTTTATATGAGTAGGTCATCCACCCTGGGTGTCCTTTTCCTCATCTGTAAAATGAGTTAGAGGAGATAGTCTCTAAGATCCGGTTCGGTTTCGGAAGAAAAATTATATATGATTCCTCTCTTTGAGAAGAGACAGTAGGTTTCCAGACAGGAAGGCAGGAAAGCATCCTGACCAATGGCAGGCACAGGAAGACTTGGGGGCTTCCCTCAGTGTGGCCAGGTAGCCGGAGGGCTGCGTTAGAGCTTGACTGGGGACATCCTGGATGCCGCTCCCCGCTCAGTGGCCCAGAAGAGCCACTGAGGGTTTTTGAGTAAGAGAGTGGTCTGACAGCTGGACTGAGCAGAGGCACACAGGAGGAGGCTGCCTCGTGGAGCGACAGCAGCCTTGCCAGTGGCCGCACTGGGAGGGGTGCCAGGTAGAAATTTATGGTCAGAGGTCAAGAAAGAACTTAGAACCGGGGAGGGAGATTTGGGATCTCCCAGGGTAAGATTAGAAGCATGGGAACAGATAAGATCTTGGATAGAAATTGAAGAGAGGTTTGACGGCTTAGGATGGAAAACATATGTCAAAGAGACAGGACACCTTCCAAGAGAATCACCTTGTGGCAACCCTCAGGAGATGCCAGCACTTCCAGAGCGAGGCCATAGTGCAGTGTGCTATGGAGGCTGAGGCCTGGGCAGAGGGAGTTGGAATTGGCCTTTAGGGTCTCACCCATAAGAAGCCACTGCTGTGTAACATGGGGGCAGGAACTTAATCCAGGCAGCTTGGAAAAAGGCAGAGGCCAGGTAGGAAGATGAAAAATCACAACAGTAGTTTGAAGGGTACAAGAGGTGCATACAGCAGTGTGAAGTGAAGACTGATAGCTGTTGGGAGACGCACATGTCTTCTGAGGCCAGAGGAAGAAGGCCTTGAAGAACAGAATGCTGAAGATGCTGGAGCTGAATGTTGGTGGCAACTGAGGAGGCACCCAGAAAGGGCCACACTCAGGAAGGAAGAGGGAAAGAATGCATAAAGGCTTGGGGAGCCCGAGGCAGCGAGGTGAGCACATCACATCTGCTGGCTTTTATTTTTATAGTAACATCTATGGTTGGGTCATCTGATATGAAAATACATATGGGAGCTCGGGAGCCCTCGCAAAATGAAGGGGGCTTGAAGTAGCCTCTGTGGCATTGGTACCGGGGTACTTCACAACCTTCACTCAGTTTCAAGACAGAAACAGGGTGAGGCACACAATCCCATAGGCACCCTTGCCTGTCTCCTGAGGAGGAAGCCCTGACTCCACTTGTGTGGCTCCAACCAGGCCTTCTCTCGAAAAGTTTATCATATCTCTGCCCATGTCTTCATTTGCTCCCAGTTGAGTTGGATGATTTTCAAAGAAAATGATAGCACGATTTGATTCTCAAGTGCTTAGTGACTACTATTATTTCTCAAGTCTCAACTTGTCCAGTTACAGACCTAAACCTGTCCTTTTCTACTTGTAATTAAGTTTTTCATACAAGTTATGTGGAGTAATTTCAGGCATCTTAATTATCGGTGCAATAGCTGGATGGTTTCTGTGTTTTATGGTTCAAGCCAGTGCCAGTTTCATTGCTTTTAGCTAATAAATTCTCTTAAAAGACCGGATGTTCATAGTGCAGCCTGCTTTAACTGTTACATAACCAGGATACTAAATAATGGCCAATTTCAGGGGTGGTATGGGCAAAATCCATACCCAGAACTGGCTCTAGATGCTACCATCCTTAGCACTGCCTCTTTTCTCACTTCTGTGATTGGAATATTTGATTTTGATAAGATAAAATTAGGAATACTTTGGTTGCAAAGATAGAAGCCCTTCTTGGAATAGGTTAGGTGTAGAACTTTAAAAAGAAAAAAAGAATATACAACCCATGTAATTGAGGATGTATACAGTAGATTGGCATCAAGCAAAATTTGATCCAGAGGCTTAGATTCTTTTTCCAGCTCTCATTTGTTTTCCTCTCTGTGTGGGCTTTGTTATCACTAGACGCCTAAAGTCTGTATCTTTGGACCCTGGAATCCCAAAGAAAGACCCTGTTCGGTCTCATTTCCATCTGTGAGACTCAGGGATGCCTCTAGTGTGTGCCCATTCCTGAGCCAGTTACTGTGGCCTGGGAAATGGAAGACTCTGGCTGCACAGCCACACGTTGACTTAGGCTGGAGGGGATGAGACCTCAGAGATGCCTCGCCAGGATCACAAGAGAACTGAAGAAGAGAGAAGAGATGCCAAGTCAGTCTACTGTACACACCATAGCATAAAACCTAAGCAGTAGAACTCAAAATAGAATTTTTGCAGTCTATGGTTACTTCGGACGACTCTTGAGTTTATTTGTTGTTGCTGAAGTTAGTGGTAATATTCCCTAGATAGACAGCTAGACTGCAGCAGTGAACCTTCCCTCAGGGCTGGACTTGGCATAGGGCTGAATGAAGTGACCAGAAAAGGAAAGCATATTGCTTTCAAGGCTTCTCTGAAGTCATCTTGACCTTAGAGTCTGCATGTCAATTTGAATTGGTTCAAATTAAGTGGGTTTGGTTCAGTCATCATCTGGTTTCAGTCAGGCCAGAAAATAAATCACAAGAAAGTGTTTGGGCATTCCAGTCCCACCGGAAAGTAGGCAGCTAAAGAGATTTGCAAAGTTAGCACATGGTTAAGGGGGGTGACACTGAGAGATTGACAGAGACAATGCGTGGACACACGTGTTAACAGACTTGTCCTGACTCGGCCAGCGACGTGCACTCTCCCTCCGCTCCTGCCCTCGGTCAGAGGCAGGATCCTGGCTTCCCTCAATGACCCAGCCTTGCTGCTTCCTTGCTACCCTGTCCTACAGCACTGTCAGAGCTTGCTGAAGATGCCATTTCTCATCTTCCACCCACCATACCTCCAGGCTATATCTCAGAAAAAATTTCTTTGATAATACAAACAATAAAAATGCTTAAATTAGATAGTTATCTGATTAAAGTGATTTTTTGCCACTATTTTAAACCACAGAGATGTGAGTAACTAGACTCTCCCCTCCCTGATTTATAGCCAGTCTGCTCAGCACATCAAAAATCCCCTCAATCTTTAGATCTTTATGTAAAGTGTGGGTGAAAATAGATGCAGTAAGGCTGACACACAGAAGGTTCATTTTTTAAAAGCCCCTCATTTACTAATTATATATCGTTGAGGGGAACCTGATAGTCTTACTTAATATGACTGTATCAGATTTGCAATGGCTCTGAAAAAATATAAATCATGATTTTTTTTCTTTATATCAGGACTTAAAACAAAAATATTTGCAGTTTACAGGTGGCAATTACACACCACAGCAAAGCCACAGTCAATAAAACTGTCAGTCCTCGGTTCTCAGAATAAGCAGAAAACCACACGGAAGGGTTGGCTGCAGGACTCCTGATCACAACATCCCCATTCTGCTTGTGTTCCACAGCCAGCATGCTTCAGGGTGCCACTAAAAGGAGAGTTTTCTAGTCTTCTTCTGTACACCCATGACTTTCAAATCTTTTGGTCTTCCTAACAGCGCTCTGAAGTAGGCATCATTAATAGGGTAACTTCACAGATGAGAAAAGAGAGGCTCGGAGGCCTAAGGGTCTTCCTGAAGTCACACGGCAAGGAAGGGATGGACCTGGGCCTCCCTAGGCCTGGAGCTCATTTCCATCCTCCAGATCTGCGTCCCTAGTCCACAAAGCACCCCTTCAGGATCAGTCCTTGATTTGCCCTGTTGCCTTGTTATTCCCTCTCTGCTACCCTCAGGCAAAACACACCCACGTTCCTTTACTCCTGCGGTTGTGCTTCAGCAGAAGAGGGAAGAAGCAATGCTGCCTTCCTCCCTCAGACATTGCCAGACCTCCCAGCATGCTCCCCAGGGCCAGGGCATGGTGAGGTCTCTGCCCAGCCTGGGTGGTGGGACAGGCTGCCACATGAAGTGTTGGCTGCTCCAGCCCAGGCCAAGTAGACTGAGGGCTCGTGTGGGAAGATTCGGGAAGCTGTACAAAGCAGGAATGAGATTCTCCAACAGGCTTTCAATCTGGGCTTTGTTTCAGATCTGAGAAGTGTTTTGGTAAATTTGCTTTTATGTTAAGGAAAAAGCTGATGCTCAGAGACTGGACTTGCTTTGGGAGGAAGAGGAGTGAGAAATCACTGGATTAAAAATTTCATTCCAAAATCTGTTAAGAAAGGCTATAATAGAATAAATGTATATTTCGATTAACCTTTTCTTAGATCTAGCCATTACCTAATCTGGCCCAGCCCAGCCCCCATATTTATCCCGGAGGCCTGAGCCCTAAGAAATCATGTGTCCTATGCTCTGTTACCTCCATCAGCTTGCCTGGGCCCGATGGTGGAGACCCCAGAACCTGACAGTGCTGACAAGGATGACTTGCTGCTGTTGAGTGAGATCTTCAACGCTTCCTCCCTGGAAGAGGGGGAGTTCAGCAAAGAGTGGGCAGCTGTGTTTGGAGACAGTCGGCTGAAGGAGCCCACAGCGACTGGGGCCCTGGGAGAGCCAGATGCCAAGTTCCAGACAGGCTCCGGATTCCTCCCTTCACAGCTTTTAGACCAAAATATGAAAGACTTACAAACCTCGTTACAAGGTGTGTACTACAGTGATCAAAATTAGCTTTTGTGCTCATTTATTTTGTGCTTATTTGTTCTCTTTTTCTTTTACTCCAGATGCATATTTGTTGCTTCATTGTCTTTTTTTATATGTATATGTTTTCTTTTATTTTTATTTTATAGCCAGTATCTTTTCTTTGGGGTTTTTTTGTAGAGGGGAGTGGGTATTTTTATTATACATCCTGTGACTCTGTAGCTGAAATCCCAAAATCACGTTCCAACTTTAAAATCTGTTATAGAGTTTAAGATCTATTCCTTCTCATAATTTTTTCCCTGTTTTACCTCTTTTAACATTTCTTGTGCAGAAAATGCCAGGGGGGTGGTTTTCAATCTTACTTTGGTTTAAGGATTTTTTGTGTGTATGGCATGAGGAGAGGGTTTAGTTGCCTTCATAGTTGTGGCACTGTTGGCGTGGCCACCAGCCTGAGTTCTTCCATATATCCACAAGGCAGAATTCCCTGAGTGCTCATAAACATGCCCTCTTTTGGGCGCTGACTGACAGCACATTGGGCCTTTACCATTTAGTCCACTCTATGTTATCTTGCACTTGCTCTCTCCGACTTGACTTACCCTTACCCCTAATGTCCCCCAGGTCAGCTGTTTCTGCTCTGCCTCAACACACAGTGAATCCCCACCCAAAGCCTCAGCAAACATACTTTCCACACTGATCAATAGTAGTTGGCCATCCTGGGAAGGTTTCAAGGTACAACCAAGGCTCAAAAGCAGGTCACATGTTCCCACATTGATTTAAAGTGTAAAAATTGAGGGCTGGGGATGTAGTTCAGAGCATTTGCCTAATGTGCATGAAGCAGTTGGTTCAATTCCCAACACTGGGGAAAAAAAAAATACACAATTGAAAATTCAAGTTGAAATGTGAAGTTTTAAGTTTCTAAGCAGGCAAACCTCAGGAAGGAAACTATTTTCTACTGTCTTAACACTTTTTCCTCTTTCATGTGATGTTCACTGTAAGACAGAAATTAGCATTAAGACATTCTCAGGTTGTTTGACTTTTCCGTAAATTTAGGCTATCTTCTTAATAAACATGTTTATCTGGCACTTAAAGCCAAGTGCAATGGGCAGAGCTAGAATGATTAAGTAATTATGGGCTATTAAACCCTCAGATTTTTGGAGATGAGATCATGGGTACAGGAGTTGGTGGGCAACACAAAAAATGTCTTCCCTCTTTTTTTTAAATGAAATACCTGATTCCTTTTATCTTCTTCTGTGAGTCTTGTTTTGCAGCCATCTCATGTGTTAACAGTGACAGGGTTAGAGATGGCATGGATAAATGAGATCCAAAAATGCTTCTGCACCCGGAGTTTCTCCCCTGGGTTTCACAGTCTGCTCTGGAGCTCAGATGAGCAAAGGTTGCCAACCGACTTGAGTTTCATCCCCACCCACCTGTGGCAGAGGTGCTAACAGGTGTGGGAGAGTCACAAGGCCAAAGCTCAGGATCCTCTGCTTAGATCTTTGAGGTGCTGGAGACTCTCCAGCTGTGTTTCAGAAGGAACCCTATTGGAGCCCCCAGCTTTGGTGACACATGGGCCCCGCTGCAGAAGAACACAGTGATGGCTGAGCGTCAGTTGCTACAACACCCTACAGTGACAGCCAAGAAGGTTGCTCCACGGCCTCTTCCTGAGCAGGCGGAGTGAGAGAGGCTCAGAGCGCCAACCTTAGAACTTGCACCTTTTTATGGCAATGGCCCTGGGACCTTGCACATCAACCTTGCCCATGTCCAAGAGGAAGGCATCAACCACACATAGGACAAAAAGAAAAAAGCAAGCTGCACTGTGGAGAGAGAAAGAGGTTCTGCAAGAGGAGGCCTGTTCTCAGGCAGACAAACTCCCAGTTGAAGTGGCTGTCCTGCTGGCACTTCAGCAGGGTGCTCATTCATTAACAAATATTTATTGGATCTCTGTGTGCTGAGCACTGGGGATTCATCTGAGAACGAAACAGACAAAGCTCTCTGCCTTTCTGGAACACACATATGATGAGAAGGAAATAAGAACAGTAAGCATAATAAACCAGTCACATAGTAGGTTAGAAAGTGACCAGTGTTAGGGAAAAAGGAAAAAGTATAGAAGCAGTAGTGAGTGCTGGGGATGGCAGGGAAGGTTGGGTTCCACAGCTACACCATATTCTTACTGGGAAGAACTTGCAGGGAGTGAGAATTAGCCAGATGGACACCTGGACATTGAGGACAGCCTTTACTTACACCCAAAGGTGAGGAGTGCCCCACGTGGTTGAAGGTCTGGAAGAACATTGGTTGGAGCCAACTGAGGGGAGACTCACTCAGAAGAGTGGCCGTGAAGCCACATCACTGTGGCGGTGAAGCCACACGGAGGCCTGGCCACACAGGGCCTCATGGCTACTGGGAAAATCTTGGGCCTTTTTTCAGTCCAAATTAAATTGGGAATTCTCATAGTATCTCCAGCCAAGAAGTGACATGATCTGATTTACTATTTAAAAGAATCATTTTGGCTGCTAAACTTTCCTTTCTTCTTCTGGGATTCTATCAAGATATGGTTAAAGGAGTTGTTTTGTAATTGCTGAGTTATCCTGTTTCTTTTGTGTGGAAACAACTACCTCCTGGAAGCCTTTGGGACTCAAAAGAACAGGGGAGAAATGTCATACCCAAGGGATTAAAAGAAGCAGCTCAAGTCAGTTTCTGCCATACCTCCAGATTCCAGCAGATGCATCCCTGGTACTAACCAATGCTCCCCTGATTCGTGGAACAAATAAAAAATGGGCTCCTTGCTTCAACAATGAATTGTGTCATCAAATCTTCACCATAATATCCTCTGGCGGGATTTTCCTACCCCAAAAAGAAAAAAGGATGAATATTTGCCCTAGATTTCTTTTACTATATCCATAGACTAGAAAAAAACCCATCTATGTTTACATGAGTAGTTATGTCTATATAATAGTTTAATCATAACTATGAAATGTTTATCACCTTATACTGCAATTGCTTCCTTTGATTAACCAGATTATCTCAGAAACCAAATTTAAAAAACACTGAAATAACTAAGAAGCCACTCTTGGGCAGCAAGGCTCATTGCCGTCTTGGCTCAGTGAAACACTAAGGTAGGAGGTTCAGAGCCCAGGTTTTATCTTGAAAACTCCCACCCAACCTCACTGCAGCAGTGGTCAGGCCCATCTCCAGCTCTCTAGGCCTTTTCCTTCCCGTCTTTGAAATGAGGTACAGCCTCAGTTCTCATCCCTGTGGGCATCTTTATCCCAAGGTTAGCCTCCACTGCAGACATGCTGAGGTCTAAAATCATGCAGTCCTGTGAATCCACATTTGTGGATGGTGAAATGGCATTAACCAGCACTCAAGATGGCACACACTGTGCATCAAGCACTGCCCTGTTTGTTTTTTACATGGATTAAATTATTTAATGCTTGTCACAACCCATGCAGGTAATATTACCATCTGCATCCAGGAAACCAAGGAACCCAGTGACCAAGCAATTAGCCCATGATCACACACCTGGTAGGGGCAGTTGGACTTTGATCCTGAGCAGTCTAGCTCAGGAGCCTGCATCTTTCCCCACCACCTCCTGTGTCCTCTCAGAGAAGTGATGCCCAACACTGCCTACCAGGCCTCTTGGGATACTGCCAGGGGGACAAGACTCTGCATGGGCATCCTAGTTGCACACAGGAATGAAGACCCCTGGCCAGCCATAGAAGAGGGATATACATGCTGGGAGACAGGGTCCCTGTCCACCCAAATGTTGAATAATATTCCAGAATAGAATATTTGAAATCAGCTTGTCTTAGGAAGTCTTTATGTCTCATACTTTAACACACTTGTGCTGAGTTTTGCTGTTGTCCTACTTCTCCACAGCTTCTCAGCCCCTCCTGTATGCTGCATTTCTCCCTCCTTATTCCTCCTCCTCCTCCTCCTCCTCCTCATCTCTTCTCTTCTGCCTGCATTTTTCCCTTCTTTGGCCGCTGTCCTCATTCTGTTCCTTAGCACTTTGGGGGAATGCTAAGGTAATGGGATTTAGTAAAAGAATGATTAAACCTTCCTTTCCTCCTACTTCAAACTTTAGGACTCCAAAGCAAAGGAATACATGTCAGATCAAGTTGTGCTGAAAATCTGAAGATGGAGTTAATTTTAGCAGAGATTTTTAAGAATTTCTGAAGCTATCAGGGTTACAAGGACTGTGGTTTCCTGTGTCATGCAGTGATGAGAAAATTGTGCCTTCCTGGGGCCTTGTTGCGCAAGTAGGAAGAGCAGCAGACTGAGCAGAGACCAGGCAAAGTTGAGAGGCCTCATATTTGCTGTTCTCAATTCTCCACTAATTTCTGAAATGTAATTTAGAAGTAGACTTTGATACTGGAAAGATTGCCAGTTGCTCAAAATAAAGGCACTAGAGCATCTTAGGGTTCTACAAATCAAAGGTAGGACTCTTCTTCTAGAGTCTTAAAAAAAGATAGAACCTTGTGTTCCATCAGGACATCATTTGTTTTCCCCAACTGTCAGGTACCGCTGCCATCTGGGTAATTTCCACTTAAATCTGGTGTAATGTCAAGCTTTGGATTATCTCATATACAAGGTTCCTCAACCAAAGCTCATCCCTTGATATTCCTGGTTTAGTCTGCCTCCATGTAACTGACTTTGCAGTACTCAGATGGAGAAATGCAGAGGAAAAGAGTGCAGGCATATTTATAGTTTGAGTACAGAGTCCCTCGGAGGAGCATCTGCAAGGCAGATCTTGGGGATCTGAACCATTGAAGTGCTTCTCCTTGCCCACAGAAGGCACTTTGATGACAGTCTCCTCCACCCACATTTTCTTGGGGGCATTCAGTAACCTCAGAAAGGTCATATGACTTGCTAAGTTTGGCTTTTCCACTATTCAAGTAAGGCCTAACTCCTCAGCATGGTTTACAAGGTCCTTTAAAACCTAAGTTGTATGGTTGCCCAACCTCCCACACCATGCATGATTTAATGACATTTTTCTTCTAGAGAACCATGTATTCTGACCATACAGTGGACTCAAGCCGTGTTGAGCATTAGTGTGCCTAGCTCGCCCTACCCATGGTGCCTACATCTACATCACCCACCTACATACATTTGATGCTTTACCTGGTTGACTTCTCATCCTTCAGCATCTCTGTTTCAATTTCAGTTTATCCAGGGAGCTTTCCCCAACTCCTTGTCAGCTTAGTGGTCAGTGCCATGTGGTTTTTTTTTTCTCCCCACTCCCAGTACATAGTACTTAATCATTCCTCTTACTCTCCTTATTGGAAAATTGATTTCATTTCTGTTTCTTGCTCTAGGTTGTCATAGGAACAGAGTTCATTTGTATTGTTCACCTAATGCCAGAACACACTTCAACATGTGAAATTCAGTAGATGTTTAAAAAGTAGAACTTCTTGGACAGATGTATTGGGGGGTGGATGGATAGCAGGCAAGTAAAGAAACTGACAACAGATTAAAAGAAAAGCCTAGGATATGAATAATATATTCAGGGGTTAGTTACTCCCACTGTCTGCTGAGTTATTACCCAAAAGCCCAGCTTAGATTTACTGAGGGCTGCTCCCTAGACTCTCTACTACCTGGTTTCTTCTACCCAATTTATCCATGCAACAACCCATGAGACAAATCCCCCTTCCTGGCAGGTATGGAAACTGAGGGGAGAATACGGGGTGCTCTTGGCCACTGTGGCTATGTTGTTCCTACTCTGCTCTTCAAGGCCAGCCCCACCCTATAGATCCCCAGGCTGTGATTAGCAACCCAGCCTGGGCTTTTGCTCTCTCAGCTAGTGAATTATGTTCTCACTCTGGGCAAACAAAGTGTGATTTGGCCTCACTCGCTGCTCTTACTGGCCAGTGTTCCTTCTGGCTGATTTGTATTTTCCGTTATGTAAGTAAAGGGGGGCACTACTAAAGTTTTATATGTGTTTTCCGCAAACGAGTAGCACATTTGCCATATCAGAGAAGCTGAGCTGATAGTCCTTTTGTTCACAGAGCTTGTCCTGCTCTCCAGCCCCACCCTTCCCCACCTCTCTGAGGTGAGCCGACATCTTTCAGGCCACACCTTCATGTCAAAAACACCTCAGCCAACTAACACCAACCAAGGAACAGTTGAGGGCAATTACTGGAATATTAGCAGCACAAAATTCTCTTTAAACAGCGATTTTCCTGAGAGAAGCCAAGACATTTTAAATCTGGTTTGGCATTCCATCCATAATTACCCTGATCACACCCTTCCCCAAAATAATTTTCAAAGTGATATAAGCCAGGTTGAAATTGCAGCTGAGCTTTATATTTTCATTAACAGTTGGTGTCACAGCTACACTGTTTTATCCCTTCCTGCACATGGAGTCGGACTGTTTAGATGGACACTTAGTAACTGCTCTCAGGAGTGAATGTGACTCAACACTAGGGCTATTCTTTCTTCTTGGGGGCTAGAGGATGGCATCCTGTGTGTCTGTGAGATGCTGAACAGGGCAGCTGAGGCAGAAGAATGCCTTGAGCACAGGAGTTAAGCCCAGCCTGAGCAACATAGAGAGACCTTGTTTCTAAAACAACAACAAAAAACCACTAGCAAAAAGTTACATTTTATATTATCATATTTATATAACATTGTATATGCATGCGTGTGTGTGTGTGTGTGTGTGTGTGTGTGTGTGTGTGTGTGTGTGTATTCCTGGAAGTCAAGCTCAGTACCTCACTCATGCTAGTATGTATTCTACCAGTTATACTTCCAGCCCATAGATAACAAACAATAATTTTTAAATAACAAAATTGAGATACAGAACAGATTAGTGGTTGGCAGAAGTTATGGATGAGGAAAAGAGTCTGCCTGTGTCTAGAGAGGGGTAGTCTTTGGTAATAGTTCTGTATCTTGATTATGGTGGCAACTGCATGGAGGTACACTATATGAAAAAGCTGCATGAAAGTGCCAGGTGCTGTGGAACACACCTTTAATCCCAGCTACTTGGGAAGCTGAGCCAGGAGGATAGAAAGTTGTATGCCAGCCTAGGCAACTGAGCAAGCCCAAATCAAAATTAAAAAAATAAAAAATAAAAGCCCTGCAAGGTACAGTTTTGTGGTATAGCACTTGCCTAACGTGTAAAACTCTGGGTTCAATCCTTAGCATCCCCCCAAAAAAAGTTGCATAAAACTATAAATACATGACACAAATGAGAACATGTAAAACTGGTGAGAAAAGAATAAACCCATAGTTACAAAGGAATTCAATTAGAAGACATGGGGGCGAGGCTGGAGTTGTAGCTCAGCAATAAAGCACTTGCTTAGCATGTGCAAGGCTCTGAGTTCCGTCCCCACCACTGCCCCAAAAAAGGTTTTCTTTGTAAAGAAATCTGCCATTATCATCCTTTAAATGTTATGCTTGCAAATATGATTTGCATTTCTGACACTTTAAAATATGACTTGATATGCATTTTATTGGTTCATAATCTTTTAAGCATGCACATATTACATGCAGGGAGGCGAATTCCATTCTGATGCATGGATTGTTTTCTGCCTCCTTTGAGGATTGAGTTCCATTCAGGAAATGTGGAGAAAGGGTGACAGTTATCCAGTTAGACTCAATCCCTCTCGGTTTTCCTGTGATTGACATTATTTGGGACACACTGGACTACAATTTTCACTTTCCACATTGACCACTTTCAGGTGATTTTTGTCTAAAAGGGAAATGGTGATGGGCCGGTTTTCTAGGGACCAGGGAGAGCATATTATCACACCACCTACTGTTCATTTCTTTAAAAATACTTTATTGAAGTATAATTTATGTGCCATAAAATTTACCTATTGTAAGAGAACAGTTGGAACATTTCTCACATACTGTACACTCATCATCCCAGCTCAGGGTTAGAATATCTTTCCCATCCCAGAAGGCCTTCTTTACATCTGCAGCTTTGAATTCATTATGAATTATGTTAAGTGCATGTTCAAGTACCTTTGCAGTGAATAACAATGCCTTTCAGAACCATTTATATTTTTTATTAAGACCAACTAAGTAGGTCACAAGCCATCTGTTTCACTTATTCATTGGTTAATCTTTATAAATATATTTGTATACCCTGTGTCTAAAATGAATTGCATTCAACCAATAAGTATCAAAGCCTCTTCTTGGTGTCAGGAACTGCTTTGCTGTCTCTTAAAATAATGCTTCAGCAGTGTGCTTCTCACAGTTTAAAAGTATTCTGTTTATCTTAATTCAGTACTCATACATTTCAACCCCTATCATGTACATGGAAGGATATAAAAATTAGTGATATGGGGCCGGGGATTTAGCTCAGTGGTTCCGGTGCCTGCCTCACAAGTGCAAGGTCCTGAGTTTGATCCCCAGTACAAAAAAACAGACAAAACAAAAAATTAGTGGTACATGGCCCCTGGCTTCAAGGGGGTGATAACTACAGGAGAGGAGACAAAAATGCAAACTAATAAATTTAGTATGATTCTATAAATAAGTCTACTAAAATATATGCATCTTAGGATGGCAGGTAAACAAATGGCATTAAATCTTGTAATTTTTGTGGCATACATTGAGGACATTCTTACTCTGGAAACTGGTTTCTGTGTCTCATCTCCACTCTGCCATCCACACATAATCTCTCTTGAGGGCTTTATCAAAGACAAAACCCTGACAGCGAGAGCATCCCAGTAAAAGGACACTCTTTTAAGCATCATGGTCCCAACAGTGGCTGCATTCCATCTGATGGTCTGCGTTTTACAGTGAGAATCAACAGTGGACTTAATCAGCAAACATCTGCCTGTTCTGTGCTAAGTATTTTAGAGCACACTGAAGAAAAATTCCCTTTCTCATTGAGAAGACAGGACTTAGCACACAAAGAACTAAAGCCGAGGTGCAACAAAGCACATGGTACAGTTCTGAATTAAATAGGGGTCCTGCCAAATCATCCAGAGCAGACATTGAATGCTGTGGGAAAGTAGGCTTGCCTCCTACAGCAGGACTACTGAGTGCCTCTAGTCACTGAGGGGCGGGCAGCACACAGGTTAATCACCATTGTGAGGGTACAGAATAAAGTCAAAGGACTGCCTTTCCCCTCACTTATTTAGACTGGACCGCCTTATATTTATCTGCATTAATTAAAATTCCCAATTTAAATTAGCTATGTAGAAATAAATGGACTGGATCGTATTGGAGATATGCAGTTTAATACTGTATTTCTTTCTACATTTAATGGCGTTCAATTTTAAACTTTCCCCTTTCATCACAGAAAAGTGAGGCACTTGATTTTCTTGGCACACTATTGATGATCTTTGATGTAATCATGAAATGACCATACTTGGGAAGAAAAATGGGTAGAAAGGTTAAAACAAAAAAGCTTTAATTTTACAATTTTTTATTTGTTTTTCAAAGTCCAATCTCTCCCTTAGCTTTCCATATTTTGAATTGGGCATGATTTTATAAGATCTCTTGTCCCCTCCAAGGTATTTTAGTATGAGAAATATGGGAGAAGGATCATGTCATACTGTCCTCCAAATTCTATTTGGAGGCTACCATGGTTGAGACCTATGTATGTACCTATCAGCTGCTGGGGCTGTGTGACTGCTCTTGCTAGATCTAATGTCCTCTGGTTTTGAATATTAGGCTGGTCAGAGAGCAATGTCAGTCCTCCTCCTACTCCTTGGCCAGCACCAAAGACAAGCAATCCAAATGACAAGAGCCCTGCATTGAAAGGTAACATGGTGTTTTATCCCCTGCAATGAAGTTTCCTTCCTTTCCAACAGTCTAATGCTATTTTATGTTTTTCTTTACTAATTATCATTTAAGCATCTAGGGCTCAGTGCAAGGCTGTGGGATGGATAATTTTGCACGATTCTAGAAATTACCTTTTGACGTTTTTGGTGGCTTGCTGTTCTAATTCATAATTCCCTTTATTGACTTATATTTAATGAGAATGAATCAGATATCTTTCTCCACATGATTGACTGCTCTCCATGTGATTGATTGTCTGGAAATACCTAGGTATAAAAGGCCACTGAGGTTTGTTATCTTCAACTAAAAACACTATTGCAACCATCCAGTAAAGCATTTAATTAGAGCTCCTTAGAAAGGGACAGGTCCCTTAGTTGTCAGAAAAGGTCCTTTCAAGCTCATGAGATCTTTTCCTTTTGAGACAGGCCTCCAAAGAGAACATCTGCTCGACAGAAGATCTCATGTTTGCAGCTCTATCTCTGTTCCTTTGGTCATCACCCACTTTCCCTTTGACCACAGGAAGTTAAAGAAGATGTCTATTCCATGATCATCAAAAAAGTGTTCTTCGGTATTCTCTTTAAGTGCTGTGCAAATGATTTGTGAGGGGTGCCCCAATGTGCAGTCACTTGGCTCCTCTAGTAGTGCCATGATCACTTTCTGAGGACCCTGCAAGACTTTTCAGAGGTTAGAAGAAAGGGGAAGTGAGTGTTTAACATAGTGTCACTGGGGCTATCTTTAAGATATCTTGGTGTTCTCTATCAAGAATAGAGGTAGACTAATACACCTAAATCGGTCTTGCCCATACAGCAACCTGTGTGACCTCCTATATGATGAATAAAAAAGTACATTACTACTCCTACCTCCTGCCCTTCAAACAAACCATACTGAGCACTTTCAAGTCTCAGCTTATCAAAATAAACCAAGTAGGGCCAGGGATTTAGCTCAGTGGTTCTGCCACCTGCCTCACAAGCACAAGGACCCGAGTTCGATCCCAGTACCAAAAAAAAAAAAACAAAACCAAGTGTTTTCAGGGCTGACCACAAGAAATTCAGTGAATGTTGCATGTAATTATAACTTGCATACTACTCACTCTAATTGCTTAGCAGTCCTTTATCTCTATAATAAATGTGTGTACATCGATTACGTTATTATAAAGTAATAGATCCAGAAGAGATTTGGGAAAAAAAAGGAGGAATCAGAAATATAAAGTGATCAGTTCACTATTTTAGCATTTTAGTGTCATTTTAATGAAAAGATCAAAGGCCATGTTTATGTGGCTATAATCCCATCACTTCTGTCCCTTTACTCTACCACTTTTAGCAAGTTGTCCTACCAGTATTTTCTGAGACTCTGGCCAGATGGCAAGGACATTCCTCACTGCTCTCAGCTAGAAAGATACCCTATCAGAGAGACGCTTTCTTCATGCTTCTGATGCTCCCACCTGTGGGAGAAGAAAAAAAGCATGGGTCATCCAAGCCAATGAATTTAAGTCTCATATGGAGATATATATAGATATATAGATATATAGATATATAGATATATATATCTATATATATCAACTTACTGAGAAATCAATTGCATGAAGCACTCTTTTGAAAATGAAAATGAGGGAAAATGTTTCCCTCATCTGGAAGATAACTTGACTAATAATCATGGTATTCAGGACATGCAGGCAGGACATGCTCTTTCGGTGAAAGAGCAGTAGGAGTGCTCCAGAAAGGATGAAGACAGGAAATTTCCCCATTAGGGCAAGGGAAGGCACACCAGAGCCTTCTGATGGGAGAGGGTGAAGAAGGCAGTGAGACTGACAGAAGAGGAGAAGCCAAGCCTGGTGCAAGCCTTTCTGGGCCTGTGGCTTGGAAGTGTGAAAAGAGAGGCCGTGGTCTCTATCCTGATCCAGCAGATTTGAAGGGATCCCTTGAGCAGACACTGGAAAGCACCTTGCTTCCTCAGCCATTCACTCTGATTTCTGAAATAGCTCTATTTCCTGGTTGTGTTGAAGCCCCAGAGCAGCTCTGGCAGCAGTGGCCATAAGCAAGGTGAAGGTGGAGATTATTTAACACAGAGCTGATTCTTCACCAGGCTTTGGGCCCTGGTTTAGAAATGTGAACCAGCCAACCACGGGCCCATGGAATTCTCTAACCTGTTGGAGTCAGGGGGTAACAGGATGTCGCTTTTCTAGATGGTGCTGGACCTGCCTATACACAGCATGGCAGAGGTAGAGATTCAGAAGGGGGGTTGTTAATCTTTTCTTTTTCTCTCCCCAGAACCTGCCAAGGCTGCCTCAGATCTGACTGCCTGGTTCAGCCTCTTTGCTGACCTCGACCCCTTATCAAATCCTGATGCTGTTGGGAAAACCGATAAAGAACATGAATTGCTCAATGCATGAGTCTGCAGCCTTCAGGAGGGAGGCCTCACCCCACTCCACTCCCCAACACTGTACCTGGGCCAGGCAGAAGTGTAACGTGATCAGTATGCTGTTTTAATATTTACGTGCCATTTTAATAAAATGAAAGGGTCAAAGGCCCTTATATTGGTTTGATCACTCTTATTTGGTGTAAAGGGTTTTAATATATTCTTTGTGTGGATCTAAAAAATGTCCAGGAGTGGTGTCCATGCCACTGCTCTCCTGCTGACATCCCATCATGTCACTGTGGTGGCACAGGCTACTGTAAGATCCAAGTTCAAATCATGAGCCTACTGTTACAATTAGGGTTACAATAAGTCCTCGACTTAGGAACATTTGAGTTGCAAACTTTCACGAGTGTACTGCAAGGACTCATTTTGTTGGATACAAATGAATCCGACTTATGAATAATTCCACCAGAATGGAGCTCATTTGTAAGCCGGGGACTTACTATAATATATCCTACGGTCCTCAGAAACAGCAGGAGGCTAACACAGTTTAATGCCCGCCCTGTTCCAAGGGAAGGGAGCTGCAGGAAGAGTCTCTCTTTCTGTCACACCACTTCTCAGTGCACTCTGGATGAAGCTGGCTCCACATCCACACAGCACTTGCCCACAGAGCCTTGTGTCATCCCTGGAAGAGGAACTGGGCTTCTCTCCACTGCACAAGCCCTTCTATGGAAAGCAGCCATATCTACAGATATCAGTGTCTCTTTTGTCTTCATGGTTTGAATTCAGAAGCATGTATTTCTGGAACCTCCTGTGTCTTTTTTTAATTAAACAGAGAAAACATTTGACAAGGAAAGTTAAGTCATGGAGTCTGTGTGGGGACTCGGTGTTGTGCGGAGGGAAGCACTGTGGGTATGAGGGATGGAGAGGGATGGAGGAGAATGAGTCCTACCTGTAGCCCTGAGACTGTTGACTTGACCCCGTGCATCCTCCAGGAGACACAGCTTGGGGTGGGGGTCATGGGACTTTTGTGGGATTGGGCAGGGCCAAAAGCAGCAGTGCTACAGCTGGACACATAGGTAGCTCAGATATCCTACCTCTGTTACAGATCCCAACTCTGGCACGTCTCCTCCCTCCCATGCTCTGCTACGTGAGAGCCACAAACACTGACACAAACTCATGTACATCCTTTTCAAACCCTCGAGCCCTGAGTGATATGGAATTGCTGATTAGCCAAGAAATGGTTCTGCATGCTCAGCTAGGCCAGAAGGTCTCTCCTGGGCTCCTGAAGCTTCAGCCCCAGCTCTGAAAGGCATTCCTGGGATTCCACACAGGAGCAGCCTCATGGAAGAGCCTGACCATAGCAGTTACCCCTGGAAGACTGGAGCAGGGTGTTCCTCATGCAAGTGAGATGGGCTGGAGACTCAGCTGGTGACAGCTTGAGTAGCTCTCCGTTGGCTTCTCAGCCCACCCTAGTCTATCAGAGAGTCTCATTTGTTAGATTCTCAATTAGCAGATCCCTCAGTCTGTCGGCTGTGGGCTTTGAGGACATCAAGATATACCTAACATCCCTTCTCCCACCTCACATCTCCTCTTCTCACAGCTCATATCCCTTCTCACACATGAGTTCTTGTTCTATCCCTGAACCCCATCCCACAGCCTGTGCATTTGCTGTGCACCCCACAGGGACACCATCCCAACCCTAGCCACCCCTCAAGATCCCCCTCCGGAGCCCCTTCCACCACATGTAAGTCTTCAGGCCTCGTGTGAGGCACCATCCTCACTCCATGAGAATTCTCCAGTCCCTGACCTCCCTTCTGCTGCCTGGCCTGGTGAGGTCTGTGCTCCAGGCACCTGTCTGTACCACGAAGTGCAGCAATCCAGGGAACACAATCCCTGTTTCCCAAAAATCTGTCTCCCCAGCAATCAGCTGGGGTCACTTTGGATGTAATGGATTAATGATTGCCAAATCCATTTGTCCTTTGTGGGATATGGACCGAGGTTCCTAGTTCCATCCTGGGATTGTTTGCAACCACAGCCACAAAAGCCCAGGGCAGCTGCAGTGAGGATTTGAAGCGGGTGGGCCTGTATTCTCCACCCAGGTGGGAGGAGTAAGTGGGGGGTGGAGTTCTTCTGTTTTGAATGGATTACTTTAAATGCTACCAGACTGCCTTTTAAAATTGATCTGTGGGTGGAGGAGAGGGGTTTGTGGTGGTTGGACAGACTTTGCTACAAAGAAAAATATTGCACATGAAGGCATTTTCTCCCCAAATTTTCTGTACATTTTGGTTTAAAAAAAAGAAACAAAGAAAAAGATTCTATTCCCTTTCCCATCTTTCACTTGGCTGGCCTCTTGGTCCCTTTTGATAGGCTTGTTTTGATCTGGGCTCACACAAAGCCCCTTGACCACCTCTCCAGTTTAAGGAGAAGCAGCTGCTGCCGGATACGCTTGTAAGTGGCTTGTGCGCCAGCTCAGCCAGAGGGCTTGCTGTAGGACCCATCTCAAGGCCCCTCCCTAGCTTCCCTGAGCCTGTCTCTGGGTGAAGCTACCTTAGGCTCTTCACATACAGTCCCACTTCTCTCTCATCTTTATCCCATGTCACAAGACCAGTCTGAGCCACAGTTGCACTGGAAACCTGGGAAACACATAGCACCTGTTCCTGCAGTGGCTTCCTGCCATTTCCAGTGGTCTGCGCCTACCCCTGCTTTCCCCCTCCCTCAGCCAACAAACAGAGGTTACATACATTTAAGGGAGGGAGGGAGCCAGAAATGATTCCGTTTCCTCCTTCTTTCCCAGCTGGCATGAGTTCTTGGTGTATAGATTCATTCCCTTCAAAATGTAATTTTAGAAATGTCAAGCTGATTTTGAGCTCTGGAAGAGTGAGAAAAGCATCCATCAGCTTCAGAATTAGAAATGCACCAACTTAAGAAGAACTAACACTTTCTGTTGGAAGTTTTTGCTTGAGAAAATGTGATTTGCTTGATGCTGGCAGCCTTGGGAGCTCCAGGGGCCAGTGGGTATGAAGGCAGGTTTATCCCATGTGCATGAGCCAGCTTTTACAACTAGTGCAGGGCCAGGACTGAAGCCCCAAAGGTGCCATGTGAGGCTGCCCAGCCATCTGGGTGAAGATGCACATGCCAGGCCTCTCTTGCCTTCTGCTCAAGCTACTGCCCAGAGCCAGCTAGCTGAACTCCATACTCCCCTTTCTCGAAGGCTGCTGTAAAAATACCCCTCTCCAGGGGCTAGCTCTGGCAATGTCTCAGAGTTAAATATGAACACCATTTGATTTTGCCAATATATCAAAGTTGTATCTGTCTTTGTGATCAACTAGTACCCTCCACACAGGCTATGGCAGTTAATTTTCTGCTTTGATTTAAACCACCTTCCCAGTACTCTGAGTGGTACCACTCAAAAGGCAGTGATGGAGTTCTTTCCAGCTTTGTTAGAAAACAGACTTCGGCTGTTTGGAGACAACTTCAAATGATTGGCAGGATTGCTGAAAACTCTGCATTGAGAAGGATTCAGATAAATGAGCAATATTAAATGAATAACATTTATGGTAGATGTCGGGCAGGGAGGGTAGCAAACAATACTGCCTTACATCTTGTCTTTCATGCCTTCATCTTGTCTTTCAATGTTTTAAACAAAAGTAATCAGAATCTGGAACCTCAAGAGAGGGGCATGAATGGATTAGACAAAGTTTAAAGAGCACGTATTTTTTTGAGTTCTTTATATATCCTCTGTATTAATCCTCTGTCTGAGGAAGAGTTGGCAAATATTTTTCCCATCCTGAGTTTTCTTTTCACTCTGTTGGTTATTTCTTTTGTTGTACATAGCTTTTTAATTTAGTATGATCCCATTTGTTGATTTTTGGTACCATTTCCTGTGCAACCAGGGTTCAGTTCAGAAAGTTCTTGCCTACACCTATGATTTCAAGCATTTGACCTATTTTGTTTTGTAGCAGGTTAAGCTTTTCTGTTTTAACATTTTTTTAGGTTCCTCAAAATAAAACACCCAATCAAAAAATGGACAGGTAAAATGAATAGAGACTTCACAGAAGTTTGGACGGTTAATAAATACATGAAGAAGTCCTCAACATTGCTTGTCATTAGAGAAATGCAAGTTAAAACAACACTGAGATTCCATCTTACTCCATGAACAATGAACATCATCAAGAAATCAAATAATAACAAATCCTGGAGAGACTTTAAAAAGAAAGGAACCCTTCTACATTGTTGGTGGCAATGTAAACTTGTAAATCAGAATAGAGATCTTCAGAAAACTAAAAGTAGAAATTCCATTTGACCCAACTATTCCCCTTTTAGGTATCTTCCCAAAAGAATTAAAGACATCATATTACAGTGATACAGGCATACCATGTTTATAGCAGCACAATTCATAATAGCTAAATCTTGGAACAGCCTGTATGTCCATCAACAGATGAATGGATAACAAATGTGGTTATTTATATCCAAAGGAGTCCTACTCGGCCATAAAGAAAGATAAACTTGAGTCATTTGTAGGAAAAATAGATGCACCTTAAGACAATAATGTTAAGTGAAATAATTCAGACACGCAATCTTAAATATCACATGGTTTCTTTAATATGAGAAACCCAAATTACAAAAAGAGCAAAATAAAAGATACATAATAAGAACTAGGGAGATAGAACTCCCTCAATGGGAAGGGGATGGAGATGGAGGGAGGAGGGAAGTGAATGGAGGGAAAGGGAATGGAAAAAGGAAGTGAAATGTGCTGTGTGTACGTACCAACTCCACACAAGCAATGTAAACCTTATGTACTATAGAAATTTACTAATAAAAAAGCACTTCAGGGCCAGGGATTTAGCTCAATGGTTCCGGCACCTGCCTCGCAAGCGGAAGGATCCAAATTCGATCCCCAGTATCAAAGACGGAAAAAAAAAAAAAAAACTTCATTACTGAAATCTAGCCCAATTCAAACTGACTTGAACAACAACAAAAATATGGATGTGGACTTACTTGCTCAGATATCTATTAAGTCATGGTGAAAGCTTCAGGCACAGAGGGATCTAGGGCAGTGATGGTGAACCTTTTAGAGGTGGAGTGCCCAAACTACAGCCCCAAACCCATTTATTTATCGCAAAGTGCCAGCACTGCAATTAAACCTGTGTACTGAGGTTTTAGTGTAAAAAAACAACTCATACATTTGGCTTGTGTGCCAGCAGAGAAGCCTCTGTGTGTCTGCTGTGGCATGCATGCCATTGGTTCACCACCACTGATCTACGGACTCAATTGATGTCCTCAGTAGCTGTCTGCTGTTCTCCTCTCAGCTCTGATTCCCTGCATGTCTCCATGCTGATGCACTGCCTTCCCACAAGGAGACAGAAGGGCCACTGGCACCACCAGCCAGGCTGGGTACTGAGCCTGCTTTATGGCAGTCACGGATCAAGGGGAGGAGTGGGTAAGAAATATGCTGTGTGTCCATCTTCTCATGTGCCCATTCCTGGAGTCAACCCTCAAGGACTGAGAAAAGAGAAACAATAGTTCTTCCAGGCAAAACCGAGATACTGTTACTAGAGGAAGAAAGAATGGACTCTAGGCAGGAAGCTGCAGTAGACAGTTGCTCCCGTTTTCAATGGAATAACTCTGGGGAGAGACTTGACTAATCTAGACCCTCATCTCATACTAGAACTGTAATGTTCTCCAGAAAGCCCCCTGCAGGAGCCCTTTTGGATTCCACCCATAGGCAGGACTTGGGCAGAAAGCTTCAAATCTGCAGGGGCCTCCTAGGATGTGGACATTTCAGTGGACTTCAAGGCATTAAAAAGGGGGATTTTTGCATCCAACACAGAGCCTGAGGGACCAAAGAGTCTT